CATATAAATGAAGGTATTTTATCAATTTAAGTTCAAACTGATTTTTCTTTAACGTGACTGCTTGTGCTTTTAAACAAAACTACATCCGCAGAACGACGGGCACCGCTTACGGTAAGGGTAGCTCCAGACTGGAAGAGCTCATAAGGGTAAAGGAATCTCTCATAATGCGAACGCAGAAGAGAACCGGTGCCTTTTCCCGGTGGGAAGCCCATGCGAGTCGCCACTTTGGACCATCTCTTCTCTTTACACACCGTCTCAAATCCGCCTTCAGATGACACAATCTGAAAGGGACGCAAGCGTGCAACATAAGGAGATTAAGTTATTTGAATGTGTCCGGTAACTTTTAGCTGTGTTCATTGTACCCGCTGAGTGCAGCAACAACTATCTACTTAAAAAGGGCAGAAAATCTGGTTTCACCTTGCTGAGCTGATAAAGGTCCAAAATCTTTCTCTCTACGTGAGGGAAACGAATCTTGGACCCCTGCAGCTCCCAGAACTTTGCTATCTGATCCAGAAAGTTCAGTTTTACTCGAGTGAGTGCCTGTAAAAAAAAAATGAGAGAGAGATTAGAAATACAGACGCAAGAGTGAGTGTTTTAAGTAAAACTGGTGTAGAAGTCCAGCTTGTTATGAAAGGTTTTAGCGGAGTGTTTCTGCTGGCCCGGATTTTAACAAGGACGGTATAAATCTTCACAAAATGTTCCCATCAATGGCTGTAAGCTTTAGCATCTCAGCCACTGCCAAACATTATATTTGGCAAGGACATTAAAGCTAATTTGATTTCATCTAACTGGCCAAATATAGCCTCAATTTGCAAAACCAATTAAACAACAACAACAACAACAACAACAAAAAACAACTCACCTCAAGTTCATTGAGTCTTTGCACTCTGGGGGTGAAGCGGAAGTTGCGAACGTCACAGGCAAATGGAGGCTGCCAGTCCTGACAGACAGAAGAGAAACAGTAGGTACTCCCAGAACTACTTCAAAAATGAGGAAATGGAAACAATCCAAACTGGAATGCTCAAAGCAGCAATGATTTTTAAAAAATTTAATTAAAAAAAAAACCTTTAAGATACAAGGTTTCCTCCAGAAAACTTGCTAACAGACAGTCAGTCATCTCCAGCGGCCCGTCATGTTTATGAGTTACAAAATGTTTAACGTTCACAGGAAATATGAAAATATCACTTGATAATTTTGTGTTATTGGGAGATTAATATCTGAACACCAACTATAGCCTCTTAAAAAAAATGCAAACATTAAAAAAAAAAAATTAAATTAGCTGAACCTGGTGGGGGGGACAAGTAAAGCCTGGTGGCCCGCCAGACTTATAGTAAATGGAAACCCTGTTATAATAATAGTTAAAAATCCAATTTACAAGTGTCCCACTGTGCATTTTATTGGAATGTTTGATTGAGATTTAATGAAATTAAAAGTAAAATCCCGGAGTAACAGGTTCAACATATGTAAAGCCATTTTTTTACTCACACAAATAAGAGCTGTCACTATTTCAGAGTTGACATAAGCATTAAGGGCCTGTACTTCCTCCAATGTCACCATCGACATTATTGATCGACAACTTAGTCGTCAGGACAACAAAAACAAAGCATTAAATGCAGGGGCCGTATGAAGCTTTTTGAAACAGTTTTCACGACAAAATACCGAAAGTAGATGAAAAAAAAAACATGACACAAAGGGCTGAGAAATTAAGCTCCGTTTGACCTTTGTTAGAGTCGCCAACTCGGAGCCGAGTTACAAAATTCAAGCAGGCCTACAGTAAACCTCAGCTGCGTACTTTTTAACATCCTCACAAAGGATGAACCCGTGCAGATTTCAAACAGAAGGCTTTTGTCGTGCTCAAATGGGAGAGTTTACCTGGGGAGGTCTGATCTTGCAGATGCCCGTTTTCTCTGCAATCGGTCGGATCTTGTTGATGAATCCTAAAGGATCCGAGAATTCCTCCCAACTCGGCTCGAACACCGGGCACTCGGGAGGGGGAACGAACTCGGCGAACGCAGCCATGTCGAAGTGAATCCGGGGAAACAAGTCATTCACACACACAAAACAAAACAAAAAACAAACAAATGCGCTCAAAATAAAAGAGTTGACATCAAGGATTCATGATTTAACAGCAACCGTCTTCTTGGGGAAGTTCCATGATTATTCTGCAAATCTCCCCGCGATGAGAAATGTATCACATAGCAGTGACGTGTCTTGATTCATAGTGAGGCTTGAGAGAAAATCCAAAACACAGGAGAAGGCAGCAGCTAGTGATGAGTGTACTCCCATCCTCCGTAAACAGGAGGCTTAGGCCAGGCCGGGAAGTGTTCACCTGAGGCGTATGGCAGGGTCAGTCCGACACGCTATCATCGCTTTCTTCCTTCGGGTTTCTGCGTTTCCGGCAAAGTTATTAGCGCCGAGCTCACGCTTTGGTTCTTCTTCATAAGAATACCACCCAAACTGGACGCTAACGGCAAGCTCGCGTAGCAGGATGATGCATTCACTCTGTTCAACAACTCGTACTCATAGGGGCAACAAGCAGGAAGCTAATTAAATCGGTACTAGCTTAGCTTTAGCTGTCTGTTGCGCACCTTAACATCGCCGTCAGACGAATAAAGTCGCCTAAGCGAGCTAGTCTTCTATTGTACAGTCGTGTTAAATTAACATACATTTTGAAAGCAAAGACACGTTTGTTTTATGCTTTTATAATGTTCAAGAGCGGTAGGTTTGCGCATAAATGAACGTCGTCTACGAGTAACATAGCTGCATTAGCAGACATGCTAACTAGCACTAGCAAGGAAGAGAGAGCCGTTGTGATGCCTCCAGAGAAACTCGGAAAAAACAGCACTTTGAGCGCTAGTGCTGACAAAGTTGAGAACAAAAACATATAAATGAAGGTATTTTATCAATTTAAGTTCAAACTGATCTTTCTTTAAAAAGTATTCAGTTTATATATATATATATATATATATATATATATATATATATATATATATATATATATATATATATATATATATATTATTGGCAAGGCAAAACTGAATATTGTTTTAGCAGTACAAAGAAAACTAAATTAGTCTCAAGTGGAGCTGATTAGGAACATAAATCCTTCCACTTTTACCTTCTTTTAAAGAAATGCAATTTTAAGAGAAGCTACAATTATAAATACATTTTAAATAAATACAAAAAAAATAGGCAGAGATATTGGTCATGCTGAAAAGTTGACTTTATCAAATTAATAGAAGCTCTCGGTCATTTTTCTCTCTCTTCCAATTGTAATGTTTGACATGTACATCACCTTTTCAGGTTCTGGTACAGAACTATCGGATTTCATAAACCCATGGAGAACAGATGTATTTCATAGAAGAGACCAGCAGGTGGCGCTCGCGGACAGTTTTGTCTTCCGGCTGATGTTTGGAGGCTCTCAACAAGCCCCGCCCCCTTGCTCCCCTCCTCACAGCCCTCAAACCTGTGACGTTCCCCGCCAACTTCATCCAGTAGCGCTCCGCCACATCCGCCCATTCACAGCCGCACCGCGGATGCGGAGGGAAAACTCGTCGTCACGTCTTCGTGGTTTTGGTCGCATTTGGGCGTTTAGGTTCGCGTGGACGTGGGGCTAAACCAACTCTCCCTTCCTCTCCCCCCTCTTCCACCTTCGTCTGATGCAGACTACAAATCAAACTCTCGATGCAGCTGCAAGGCGAAGACCTTGGAAGGATGATTGATTTGTAGACATGGATACGAGACATTTTGAGTCAAAACTCATTGAGCACAGACTGTACTTTTTGTGCAAGGATTTATTTATTTCCCCCCCCCTCTTTCTTTCTTTTTTTTGTTTTTTTGTTGGATTTAAGCATGTCTAATTATACTTAAAATCTGCGGAGTGCGACATCGTCTCGCTCTTTTGGCACGCCTTGTTTCTTGTGCGCTTTTACGCACGGACGCAGACCAAAACTGGCGCAGGTTGAGGTAGTAGTTTGTGCTGTTGGCCGGGTCGACGTGCTGCCCCATATGGAGATGACTGCGCAATCTACTGCCTTGCCGGCGCTGGTGACTCGCTGCAGAGAAGACTGAAGACTTATTTAAACTACAATCTGGACTCAGTTTCTTTTTCTTTTTTTTTTTAGATAAACGTGTGATTATGGTGGGGCAGGAAAGCGCCATTCTCGATTAACTGGTGTCAAACTTGCACTAATTTCCCTTAATAGTTATTTTTCTTTCAGAGTTTTGGTCCTAATAATAAATAATTATATATATATATATAAATTCCAAATGTTAAAATGGAAAAATGAACTTGTATTTTTGCACCTTCTGAAATAGCGGGGAACCAACAAGTTGGTGATGGAGAGATTAGAAGAAGAAATATACCAAAAGCATTTTTACACTTTACCCTTGACAGATTAAAAAAAGAAAAAATGTCAATGTTTTTGGTTTGTTTTATTATCTTTCCTGTTCTATTTTCTCAGCGTTTTCCAACTTGCTGCAATGATTTAGGATAATGCATGCGTTTGGTCGGCTACTTGCCGTTAAAATAGCATGAAGTGATACCCAGCTCACCAGTGCGGAAAAGCATATTTGAACCGTCTGAAATTAATGAATTAAGTCAATTTATGAACGAGTTTTTAAAGTGTACTTTCCAGTTGACCTGCTGGGTGACTAAGACCGACTTAAAATAATTAGTTTCTGCAGTCGAGACGCTTGTGGTCAAACGCGCACATTTCCCTCGCAACTGAAGTTCACGCCATGAAGAGAACCACTTTTAAACTTTCATCTTTAAAAGCTCTTCACGGTGGTTCAGAGTGTTTTTCTACATTTTGAACACCTTTCCTCAAGCTACCACGTCTAAACACTATAACATGAACAGCGTCAGTAATGACTGGCTGTACTGCATCTCCTTTGTGCTTGTTCTTTCTAAGACTGCCTGCAGCTGAAAGCAGGACAGATTTTAGCAACTCATTCTGATTGGCAGCTTTTAGTGTACTCAATTATCTGCAGGAGACAAATTGCATTGTTTGACATGGATCTTTATTGTCGTTTTTTTTTCTTGATTCCTGGGTAAGAAACACCGAAGGTAAACATCGCTGGCCTCCTTCCGACGTCAAGCTTGTGTGAGGAGACATCAAAATAGTAGTTTATCTCTCAATGAGGTCGTGTTCCTTATAAAATCACACTGAAGTGAGGGTGGCACGATAGTTGGCCAACAACCTCCCCCCCGACTAGGCCTCAAAGTCGACCTTTGCTACAAAAAAGAAAAAAATCCCCCTCAGCTTCACAAGTTTCCTAACCTGGTAGTGTTACATAGGGAAGAAACAGAACAGCGATTATAATACAGCAAAAACGACAACAATCAGGTAGATGGAACTGGATTAAAGACTCGTGAACGACTGGGTTCAGAAAACCAAACAATGGCAAATCACAGCCGAGCCTGAGCCGATGTGCAAGAAGTTGGGTGATGACACAAATTAGTCGTACTTCACATTCCTCTGAGAAAAGGGTCTCGATCACTTTCAGATGAGCCAGGGCGCAATATAAACATGTCGCAAATTAACAAATGGGATTTCTTCAATGAAAGGTACAAGCGGAGCGCAGGAAATACAAAACAGCTGCTGCTTTGATGTAATGCAGATGGTTTCAGTTATGTTGGGGGGGGGAGGGATGTCTGAGACGGTTAATTTCAGTGCAACAAACATCGGACAGCAGAAGGAGCACGGACCGTTGATTTTAAGTGCATTCATAAGAAATGAACTAAACTCAATAAATAGTTCAACCGAATGCTGAACGAAGTTAAATTAGCTAAAATAAGCTATGCCAGGACATTTTAAGCCAAGCACCTGATGGTTTTATGGTGATAACGATTTCAGATTATTGTTCAGACACAGTACAACTTTGAAAATACATTTCTGAGTTCAAAGTTCTGTTCATCGCAAAGACTATAAAAAGTTTGGCTTAGCCTCATCGCAATCTGAGGCCCAAACTATGGTAAGCTAGCTAAAATGAGCTAAGCTACATTGAGCTAAGCAGCAGCTTGCTGAAACTTTCTTTACAATTGTCGGCTTTGCAACTAATTTTTGGAGATGGTTTTGAAAACACACTTTGGATCTACAATCTTGACATTTTAGTGTGTTTCAAATTAGCTAAGTATTATTTGTTGTTCATTTACCCTTTCTCGCTCAAAGGGTTAAACATTTTTATCTAAATAAGAAACTACACAGCTATTTTGCTGTAATATTTTGAGGGAGTAATACACCTTGTATCATTATACTCTAACAGATAAGGAACAGGATGAAAAAAAAAGTTTATTTCAAGGTCACAATCTGCAAAATTAAGTTAAAAGAGCTGGTCTAAGCTACATCAAGAGAAACGTCTGCTTGTTGAAATTTTAGTCAAAATTTCTGTTTATTGACTATGAGAAACGATTGTACATTTTTAGAGTGTATTGATACTTTAGTTTCACCATGGTAACCATCAACGATTGAACAAAAGTCCATCAAAAAGGCCTTTTTTTTAAACTCGTCAACTTTAAGCTGCTAATGCCATTAGCTTTACAGCCTTATTTCTTTCATATGTTTCATTGTCTGCAGATGCTCTAGCATTAATAATCGGTTTATTATTGACTGATTTTTATTTTTTTCTTAGAATGGTTATTCATTTGGAATTTAAAAACATTTTTCTCAATTTAAAAGAAAAAAAATAAGCTAATTTTAAAACTTAGCAATTAGCTTTTTTTTTGTTAATGGATGCTTCTCTTGTCTTCTGCTAAACTCTTTAGACTCAGTTCTCCTCAAAGCCCAGAAAATAAACTCAAACTGACACAAGCATGCAAAAATGGTCTATATTAGGATTGTACAAACCCGTTAGCAATTTCTTTTTTTGTCATCCTGTAGCTTTTGCAAGAAATTTCTGGATACTTCCAAAGCTACTGGAAATCCAACGGTCTTATAAACATCTTGTTGGGACATTCACAACAGAAATTACGAGATGCATCACATAAATAAAAATCCCATAAAAAAAATGGAATGGCAAAATTTAACCATTGCACCATCGCTCATCCCAGGCCTAAAATAAATTACTGCATGTACTAAAACTACATCCACACATCGAGATACTTTCAGGCGAGGCAGCGTCGACCTACAGCTTCTGAAAACATAAAACAGAGCAAAACAGGAAAACAAAAACAAACAAAAAAAAAACTTGATGGTATTTTAGGTTTAGTTATCACATTCTCCCTGCTGCAGGGAATATTTGCCTCCACGCTTTTCATATCTTGGCTCTTTAGTGCAACTACACTGGTACGCAAGTCATTCAGCCCAACATGGAGTCATTGTAGGGATTTATATACCGATGGAAATTTGATGCGACAACTTTTGGTTGGCTTAGATTGGCACGAAAAGAAAAATGTGTATTTGTATGACTGATTTTGAAATGTACAAAAACTTCACTTTTTTTCCGCTTTTCCTTTGGTCCTAAGAAGAAATTCCCCAGCCATTTGTGAAAGTTTGAATTCGGATGTCTTTAACCAGTGATTCATAGGATTTCTTTAGAGCTTTTTCGACACAAGCAAACTCTGAATCATTCTAAAAAGCTCAACCAAACCCAAAAAACGCGGTACGTATAAATAGATAAATAGATCAGGTGTCGGAGCATTAATGACTGAACAGCAGACAAAAATAAAATCAAAATCTTTGAAAGGCTTTCAGGAAGCCTGGAAAGCTACAGCTCTAAATCACTTCGAAAGGTAACAAGAAAATCCGACACTGAGGAAGGAAAAATACAAAAAAAAACGAGGAGTAACAGTTCAGTAGACGTCAGGTTAAGAGAAAAAAAAGTTGTTTTGCAAGACCCTGATTTTTGGATCAAAAGTATTCATACATTGTTTTGGTTAATTTTGTATTAAAAAGGAGTGGAATATGGAAGCTTATAAATAGAAAAAGGATGGAAGAGTACAATGGCGAAACATAGTAGTGGCAGCATGATGCTGTGGGGATGCTTTAATCCACAGGGGACAGGGAAGTGTTCCTGTTAAAAGGCTCAATCCAAGTCCAGACTCGAATCTAGTACAGAAAGCTAAATTTAAATTTTTGTCCCGTCACCCTGAACACACCACTCCCATGGTATGACACGGCGGTGGCAGCATCATTGTATCAAACAGCAACTTTGTGTTGGTCTATTGAATAAAATTCCATCCAAATGCAGAGCAGTTTGTTGTTGTAACATGAGAAAATGGGAAAAAGCTCAAAGTGCTTGGGACACTTTAACAATGAAAAGCAAATAAGAAATATGATTTAAAAAAATGAATAAAGTGCATCGTCAAACAACATTAACTCATGTCAGATAGTGTGTAAAACAGTGAAAAGAAAAAAACGTAGACAAATACCAACCAAACTGTATATGAGCCCAGCAGTGTAAACTTTAGAACCAACTTTCGCACATAATGTCCCAAATGTTGATTCATTAGCGTTCACCAGCAACTGAACCTTCAAACGCCACAAAAAGCAGCCGACCTGTCAGCTGGGTCCAAGTCCAGACGACTGAGGTATGATTCTTGAAATGAGATCGACCAAACAGGACGGGAGAGAAAAAAAGGGCGAGAAAAGCAGGATAAGAAACAGTTTTTCTTCCCCCACCCTCTCATTTCATGTAGTCGTGTGCATCGCCGCCTTTTAAAACCTTCAAATATCAGTTTCTTCCATTTTAAACCGGCAGAGTCTCTTTGTGTTTACTTTACTCCTTCATTTTTGTTTTGTTTTCTTTAAAAAAAAGGGAAATAAATAAAATAGGTAATCAGAAGGAGCTTTCAGTGTTCAGGACTTATCGGTCCGGTTCACGGTTACGGGCCGCCCCGCGGACACCGGGTCAGGGCTGCCGGTTGCCGTACATCAGGGGGATGATGAAGACGGAGATGTCGTCTCCGGAGCCCAGCCGCTCGTTGGTGATCCTCCAGCCTCTGTCTCTCAGCACGCCCCGCGCTCGCATCACCAGGTCTTGCGCCGCCATCGTGTACCTACGAGCAGAATTGCCGTTCGGAGTCAGAGCGGACAGAGGGGGAAAGGTGAAAGCCGAAACCAGGCGGGGGAAAAGCGGGAACCCTCACCTGTGCAGGTCGTCGGGGTCGCAGTTGGACAGGAAAGTGCAGACGGCTTCGGCTACCTCCTCGTTGGTCAGGACGTCCCAGAGGCCGTCGGTTCCCATCACCAGGACGTCGTCGGCCCCGTGTTCGTGCTGCGTCAGGTTGTACACCTTCACCTGTGGAACGCCGCACGCCTTTGGTCAGTCCATGTCTTCGAATGATTTTAGATTTTTGTCGAAATGACTCATCAGACGCCGAAAGAATCACTCACTGCCGCCGCCCTCCGCATCCCAGACGCTTCCCGTGAAATAAATAGAGTGAAAGCGAAGTCGTTTTGGTGAGATTGCAACTTGAAACCCACACTTTAAATCTCCAAAAAATTTTAATTCGTAACTAATGGCCTACTGTTCCCCCAAAGATATAAAAACAGGGCTCCCACGCATTTGTTACAGAGTCCTTTTTATAAAACAGTTAATATGTAACTTAAAGGAATTTGTGTGCAGAGCAAAGTTTACATCGACCCCAAGAGGAAAAATGCAAGAACAGATGGACAGAAAGACACAAGAAATTAAATGAGGAATTAAGGGGAGAAGGAAGATAAAAAAAAAAAAGACAGATGGAAATAAGAAATTAAAGGGAAAAGAGAGTCGGGGAAATAAGAAATGAGAACGATTAAAAAATTTAAAGGCACAAAAAGATAATAAGAAAGATATGAAGGACACACAGGCGGGAAGAAGGAAGGATACAAGAAAGAGAAGGAAGGAATAATCCAAGGGAGGGAGGATGGATTGGAGAAAAGGAAACGACAGATCAATCAGTAGAAGATGAAAATGAGATGCTCTAAACTCGTGCCAAAAAATAGCAAATTGTATCACCAAAATGTTTTTTTTTTATTATTTTTTTGCTTCTATCTTGTTTCTTATATAAACTAACTCCCTGTGTGTTTCCTAAGTGACCGGTCCTCCACACGCCGCTTTGTTCTGGATGTTTTCATGACTTAAGGGATTGAACGGCGTTATCGCAGCATCCTGATACAAACAACACACAGGAGGCTTCGCCGAGCGCCGCGTTAGCGAGCGGAGGAGGCGGTTTGACGTGAACCCGCCGTGAACCCTGGTGATGATGAATTAAAGATCAAGCGCAGAGCTCAGAGAGGGGAAAAGAAAACTCTATACGATGAGCTACTTCGGGAGATGAAAGCGCTTTGAATCCAGTGCCAGACGGTTCAGACAGGTGAGTTCAAGTTTTCCGGCGGCAGAGAAGCAGCGTGATGAGTGCAGGCGCATATAGAGGAGGACATCAAGCCTCCTATACAGCGAGACGTGAAATAAATGCACAACTCTGCACGAGCAAGTGGAGCAGAGCAGTATGGACCAGCGAGGAGGGATGGAAAATCTGATTTCTGGAAGCAGATTCGGCTTCTCAGAAATCTTCTTTTCCTCCTTTTTTTCTTTTGGAGTTAAATAACGGAGAGGTGTTTGCTCTGACCTCAGGAATGCAGGACAGGAACGGCTTGATGTAAATGTTGGAGTCATGAACCTTGAGGTCGTGGTCACCGAGCCCCCGGGTCACTCCGATGGTCGCCAGGACCCGCGCCTGACAAACAAAACACGGGGAATGATTGACTTTAGGTGCCCAGGTTTATGCCGGGGTCGTGTGAAATGCGAAAGCTCCAGGCATTTAAATATGAAAAACAAAACATGTGCAAGTCTGGTATCTGCTTCCGAAGCCCTGGATCGACTCCTCTCTGATGTGCTGACATCTTCCCTTTGAAAACAGCAGCTTTTATAGGAACTGAGGCAAACTGGCTCATGCAATGTTTGCACCGGAGAGGTGACTGAGTTCATGTCTGGTTGCCGGCTGCGCCGTCTAAAACCTCTTCCTTTTTCTGAAATGCAGAATTACATGGACAAAACTTTCCAAGATAGAAAATTGTACATTTTTTTGAATATGAATCAACCATATTTGAGAAACAAAGTTCTTGCAAGATCAGGTTTGGATCATCAGATGTCTGTTTTCATAATAACCCCAATTTCTCCAAATTTCAAATCAAACTGGATAACATTTTCTCAACCTGAACCCTACTATGGTTGTTGATTCATACCTGGTTGAAATTATTTAAGTGATAAAATGTGTGGAAATGAGAACACATGAGTTTGTCAGACAATAACAGACTTTCACCAGATATTAAACAGCCCAAGTTTTTAAAAATATATTTTTTATTGGTCCGATGTAATGCGCTAATGATAAATGATTTGCTTTCGTCAGCTGTTGGCAGAAAATCATTGTGACTAAGAGAAGTAAAGTCGTTAAACAGTCCCTCTTTGTCTAATTAATCTATGTAATGTGATGGAGTCACTGAAATGCATAAATTTGCAAAAAAATATTCTTCCCAGATTTTTATTTATTAAGAAAGGATGAAATCGGTAGAGAATTTTGCTCCCACCTAACAATTATTACAACTCTGTGCATGTTGGTCATAAAAACATAAAGGATAAAGAACCAGTTCTGACCCGTTACCTTTTTGCCTTCGCCGTAAATAAGGGGAAACTTGAGGTCTTCGTCCTCAACAGTCTTGTACGCCCTTGAAGACGACAAAAAAGATGTTTGAGTGAAGCATCGCCTGCCGTCCTTCATTGATGGAAGGTCAACAAATACATGACAACACGGTTCAAAACTGAGTTAATTTAAAGGCAACGAAATGACAAAACATATTAATCCAGCTTTTTCCCGCATATTGTTGTAGCCTCAAAAAACAAACATTTTGCAATTATCAAATATGCTTCACAACAGCTTTTAGTTTGGTGATTGCAAATATGCTGCTAATGACATTTCCCATCCTCATGATAGTAAAAAATGAATAGATTTTGCTTTTTTTTTGTCAGATTGTGAACAACAACAAAGGCCAGAGGAATTTGGTAAAAATGAATACAAATAACACTTAATTCAGGTTCCCTAAAAAAAAACACATTTGTTTGCAGAAAAAAACAATACTGAGAACAAGAGGCTGGGAGAGTGTGAAGCGTTCAAAGCACAAATTCAAAGAGCAAATCTGAAAAAACATATTTAATACTTTGATGTCGGCTTCAAAAACCTCGGATGCCGCTTGCTGATCTGCTTCAACAGGCGAGATCAGATTTGATACCAAAAGCCAGAGGAAAACATTAACGACTTCAAACGGCTTCGCATCCACCCAGAGTTCCCTCTCTCTGTCAGACTGCGCTGCTGTCTGGCCGTTAGTATTTCTTCGACGCAAGCGGTGAACTTTTCATGACCTCCCCGCGTCCAAAGCAGCAGATCCTGTCTGTCTCTCTGTTTTTGTGCCTTTAAGCAGGAAAGTGTGAAACGCCAGCATAAGCAGTCCTCCCTCCCTTTTCCCGTTCTGCCGCTCGTCACACTCTGAATCATCTTCCTAGTCTTTAAAATAATCGCTCTCGGCAATAGCACATCTTATGTAAAACGCGTCATCTGCCTGTTGGTTTCTGCTGCCTGGACCGTATGGAACGGCATAAGAAAAATAATAATAATTAAAGAACTCCAGCTTGTTCTATGGAGCTGATGCAAATCTTAGCCCAAACATGCAACACTTGCAATGCTCAGAGTTTACTACTCATTACGGAGAGGAGCTGCAGAGCCTTGTGGAAGCGCTCTGCGACGGAGCAAACTCACCATCCGTTCATGGTGAAGTCCCTGTAGAGCATCCTCTTGCCCACCTCCTTCCTCTGGACCCTGCGGGGGAACTCCAGGTGCGTGAACTCGTTCCCTAACAGCTGCGGCTGCATGTAGCCCTGCAGGATGGAGGACGACGCTTCGAGTCAGTCAGAGAAACCTCATCAAACAACTCGGATTTTAAACTTTTTCCACATTTTGTCGACCACAAAGTATTTTATGTGACAAGACTAACAGCCAGAAGTGCAAAGGGAATTCCTGAAAGAAAAACATGGCGCGCGTTTCTTAACCCGCATTTCCCCCGATGACCCTAAATGAAATCTAGAAAACACATGAACTTTTACTCCCAAAGTGGGAAATGCTGATGCTGCATCAGTCATTAAAAAATATGCTCAAAAAAACATAAACAAAATGAATAAAAATCAATGCATGCATGATATGCTGAAAATTTAATTTCTGCTTATGTTACATTTGAAATAATTTAACACTGCACACTGGTGCTAAAAAGGTGAGAGACAGTGGTGGCAGGATCATGCTTTGGAATTTTTTATATATAAAAAGAACCTTGAAAATGTGGTATGGATTTATTTACATCTATTCTGTTGCCCCCAAATAAAATCCAGGCTAAACATATGGAAATTTCAGGAGAAAACATGGGAGACTTTTTCCGTTAAAATTAAATAACGCACTACTTCCCCCATGAAATACATGAAGGGTTGTGGATGCACTGAATTTACCACATATAACAAAATGTTCCCTGTGTTTTGAAAGGAAGAATAAAGTGGAAAAACAAAACTGTCCAACCAGGAACTGCAGTCGCTGCCGTTCTGACTCTGGCGTGAACTCCGTCGACATGGACACGATCTCGTTGTCTCTAATGATGATGGCCCTGCAGGACGTGGCGGAGGAATTTGCGCGATGAGAAGCTTCTCAGTCATCAAAGAGGCTTTGACTTCACAGTCGGAGACGTACCTGCTGTCGCCTGCGTTCCCGACGTACAACTTCCCCAGCAGGTAAACCACGGCGAGCGCCGTGCATCCGCCGCTGATGCTGTACGCTTGTTTCTCCCTCTCGATCTGGGCGTCCTGAGAAAAAGGAAACCAGCAGACGGTTTGAGGACACACGGAGCGAGAAGACAATCGGAAAATCTCCAACGTCCACCCGAGCTCATGTAGGCAGCAGCGAAAAACAGGTTGTTTTTTTTTTTGGGCAGAATAAACTTTATATATTAGGTTCAAAACGTCCTGGAACTTCAAAGAGTTTTCTGCCACAAAGTTCCCACAATCATCTTTTGTTTCATAATAGATCCAACAGATGAGTTTATAGCAAAAAATAACTAAATGTAACCAAATTAGCTAAACTGACTGCAGGACAGAAAAGCATTTTCCTCTGTACGACATTGTCAAATCTATGTGAGATGCAATTTTATTCAACAGCAACATTAATAATTTAGATATTACATTTTATAAATGTATAAATTTTAGATATAAGAGCTTCTTTTCACTCTCAGAATAGCAGAAACGTGGGTTTAGTTTATAAGAAACTTCAGGTCGATTTTATTTTCTGAGCTGCGGCTTGCAAAGCCTCCCACTGTCATCTAGTGGACACACAGCAGAAATGCACCCTAACGCCTTAAAAAAAACCCCCTCAACCTCTAAAACAGGAACTCTCCCGTTGTTGTTTTAATGAGAAAATAAATATTTGAAACATCTGGAAAATCCCTTTTCCATGGAAGGAGAAGTGAGTGATGCGGTACCAGTAATGGAAACATGAGACGTCTGATGTTTGGGGTTTAGCTTCTTGCTCATTATTTTGAATCTCGTCACGAATGAAGACTGGGATCAAAGTTTCCAGCGAGGGCCAACTCTTCCCAAAACCCCGGGATGTTTATGTGAATTGTCCCACCTGATAGCACAATGCGTCACAAAACAAAACAGACTAAATGCCAAAAGCCACAGGGGCCATTTTCAAGAAGAGAGGAGATACAGGAGAAAGTCAACACACTGACTGTTTTCTATGATGAAGAAAACAGAGAGGTCACTGTAGTTCAGGGCATAGATACTGATTTAAAAAATAAAAAAGTTATGACTAAGAAGTGTCGGTCAAAAACTGTAAATCTAGACTCCTTCAAAGGAACAGGCAAAAAAAGACCCCTAATTTTCTTTTCTGAAACTGCAAAAAGAGCTTTAATTCAAGTTAGGGAGCAGTATTTATCATGTCGCTGATCATCTTAACACATTTTTTAGAAGGTTTTGATTTAATGTTGTCACAATAGTCTATTAATGATGCTGAAAACCCCTAAAACTCTCTGTATTGTTGTAGATTATGATTTTTTACTATTTTTCTAAACTGTTTGTTTTGATAAATATCAGTAAACTTGAAAATATGATGAAATGCGTCTACTGAGCGCATTTCAGAGATACAAATCTCTGAAATGCGACTGTTGATGTGACCGGTGTACTAAAGAAGAGTATTATAAATGGGAATGAGTTTTTAGAGCATGATTTGTGTGTGTGACTATCGTTGCTGCTCCATGCAATCACAGCCATGCAGTTACCAAAAAACCCCCAGCAATAAACAATTTGTCATCGTTGCTTTTTATCGACTATAATGTCGCGATAAAACCTGAAGTCCATATTTCAAATAATTTGAGTTCCCTGAGTGCCTCCTGAGCCTCGTCCTCCGTCACGCACCATCTCCTTGAAGGCGTTCTCTATTGCTCCGATCACCAGGCTCTCGTGTTGGACCTTCTTCTCCATGTAGAAACGCGGCGGAGGCGGGGTGCTGCTCGGTGAGCTCGGCGCGCCGGCGGCCCCCCGCAGCGAGGCGGCCCGCGTCAGGGCGCGCTGCGGCCCCGGGGCGTTTCCCTGCAGGTAGGGGCTGCTGTCGGGCTCCTCGCCCAGCACGGTGGGGGGCGGCGAGTGGAAGTTGCGCAGGATCTCTATGACGGCTTGAAGCTGGCAGGCGATGTGGTGCTGCAGCAGGCGGGAGGCGACGACCGCCGCGCCGGAGCCGGCGTGACCGTCGAACAAAGCCCAGTAGTGGAAAACGAGCCCTTCGCCCTCCTGTAGATGAAACATGGGACATGCAAAACATAATAGTTCCTGAAGCAGGGTTATATCTAAATATCACACCCTATATTTCAGGCCAGCCATTGACTTTCTCGTGGTGAAGGAGCTGGCAGAGGAAATGTAACAAGATCATGTGCAAAACTGACAGAATAACACCAAAACTCTTGCAAAAGGGTGACAAAAAAGGGTGGTTCTACTAAACACTGATTTTTAAATGATCATAAACTTTTTCTGACTTATTATTATTTTTAAAATGTTGGAAACATTGCCTCATTTCTTTTCCACCTCAAAATTCAGCTCCATTTGAAACCACAGCAAAATATAAAGCAGTCTGTGATCATGAAGTGACAAACGTTTGCAGCACACTAAATGGGACAAAATCATATCAGTAAATGTGAGTTTATGTATTTATATGCATTGTTTTAAATTCTAAGATTTTACATTCATGTCAAAGAAGAGCAGCATAAACAATCGGCTGGATCTGTTTCCTCCAACAGTGACTGCTGGCACTGAAGCAGCAGGTTTTGCTGCAGATGTTGGAAGGATTGCTGGATTGTGCATAACGGCAACGTTACGCAGAATTCCTCTGGGCTGTGCTGCTAATCTTTCTGTAATGCCATCGTTAGAAGCGTTGGAGGAGGTTGTAACCGATGACTAACGCTGGCTGGCTGGCATTGCTGTGCAAGGAGACCCGCCATGACTCATGCTTTCCATCAGCGATGGAGCCGGCGAGGTCAAACCTGCATGTAGGAGCTGTGATCATTTCTGCTCAGTGTTATCGGGCCGTCAGAGAACAGAATCCTGTTTTTCTTTTCTGTCTGTGGTTTCAGGGTGCAAGCAGGATGTAGATGTCTGTGTTTTATCTCTGTTCGAATGAATCCTTGCCTCCCACGTCTCTGCTGTTCCTCTTAGAAAGCACAAAATGGGATTCAGGAAACGCTGCTAATTCGTCACCGTTCGGTTAACAGAATATCTGGAGCAGGTCAGTGAACTCAGTCGCTGGCATTCCACCCCTATTAGGCTGGCTAAATCGTAACTCAACTTTTAAGAATAATGACTAAAATATAATGACGCATTTATGTGATCAAAACACTTTTTAGAATATCAGAGTTCACTGTACCGTTGCACTTTGCCCAATTTTCAAAAAATGCAACTATTTTCGTGTCATCTGACTCGCTCTGTGTACTTTTACTCCCTCCAGCAGATGTCTGTGAGTGAGAGACTTACAGTGCTCTGTCAGTTTTATGACGTTCAACCAAAAGCATGAGAACAACTTTTTCTTTTTTTTCAGTTTAGGTGATTTACTGCCGGAAGCGAGTGCAAATTTTTATAAAGCAGTTGTCACAAAGCGCTGTGCAACACAAAGCAAAGTTATACACAGTATTTGGTTAAAATCTGACCCAGATAATCAGGAGGCTGGGCATTCGCAGCCTTGTACGTGAATACAAGAACTTTGAAACAAATTCTCAAATACACAGAGCCGGTATAGCACCAGGGAGATATGAGAGACACAAACAAATACAACAGAATATCATCGACGTAGATGTGATTAAAATTGTCACAAAAAGATTGAATAATTCCAGCAGGATGAGGAATATTGAAAGAAAATAATAAGGGGCCAAGTACTGAGTCTTGTGGAACACCACAGATTAGAGGAGCAGAGCAATACAGCATCTTATAGCAATCAAAATATTAAAGTCAATCATGCCAAGTAGACGAAATCAGCGTTACTTCAAGACACTTTGGAGAATTTAAGTGATAGTAATTTTTTCACTTTAATGTATTATCCGATTGTTATCCAGTAAGGCAACATTTCGTCTTTGCCTTACCAAAGGAATATCACAACCACCTTTGAAATACTCGCTAACTCAGTCATTCTGCTAACAGATTTGTTTGAGCTCCCATTAAAGCCCCATTTCATGCACCACTAGATATCAATAATGTGGCGTCATGTTAAGTGCCTTTAATAATAAACAAGGGAAGCACAGTAGAGTGGTGTCTAAGAACTACTTGTTTGTTTGCATCCGTGTTCCTACCTCGCCCATCAGGTGTTCCACTCGAAGGCCCAGGGCCTCGCCGTTGGGGAGCGAGTTGCGTCTTTTGGCCGTCGGGGTCTTGCTGGGCGTGGACGGGGGACAGTAGCTCATCGGTCTCCTTCTGGCCACGACCACCTCGCAGCAGGCCTGGTCCTCGTTCAATGCACTCTTACCAGCATTGATCACCCTGAAAAAAAGACAAAAGGGGGGCATAATGTGGAGAGCTGAGGTGATCTCTAACTGCAGGCTCGCCCGCCGCTCTTTCAGAAGGAGTTTGGAACATATTTTAGTATCCAGGTTTGCGCCAGAGATCCCAGGTGGCTGTTTGTGGATCTCTGCAGGGTCACGGCAATTACAACTCCTGCATTTATCGAAAGTAGTTGCCTCTGCCAGTTTTATATTTTATAATCTGTCAGTTTGTGCTGTTGTTTTGACTAGAAAGCTCTTCCTCATCGCTACTCCTGAAGTGACATGCAGCATTATGCATTTTCACCTGCACTGTAAATATTTTTGTGTCTTTCTTAAGATTAATATGTCCAATATTTGGAAATACACGGCTGTGATTGAGCCTGTCGCAATAACCCATTAATTGCATGATAGATTAAAACGAGGTCAATAATTTCCATCCTGATGATAATAATTCTTGAAGGGCAATTTTGTTTACAGACTTCCTAATCATTTTCATTTGTGGTTTCAGTGATGTTTGGGTTTTTGTTTCCTTTCTGTTTATTGTGTTTGGTCATTGTTTTTTTTTCTAAAGTTATTTAAAATATCTTCCAGTTTCTATGTTAAATTTGTGAGAGGGAAACTTTGATTATTATGCCGTTATAAACATATTTCTTGAAAATGGTCTTAAAATGACAATGTTACAGTTTATCGCAATAATTTCTGGGACAATTTATCATTGCTGTGGTCAACCTCCTGATTTTCTGGGTCAGCTTTTAACAAAATACTTTGTATAACATTAATGCACTTTGGTTACTAAATATGATTTGCTTATCTTAAAATATGTTTTATGGGAGGAAATGAACCACATTGTGTGCCTGACTGTAACAAAGTAGCTAAATATCCATTAATTATTCAGAACATAGATTAGAGTGCGCTCCTGTTGGAGGAACTTCAGGCATGCTGATATGCATCGGTACAGACAGAGCATCTGCATAGTGTAACATGACGCTAAATATTATCATTTAACTTACCACAGTGAGTTATGCTTTGTACTTTGCACTAATTACACTAATTTTCTCTAGTTGCATCATCATCTTCTTCCTATTACTAAGGTTTCCCCCAGAAAACTCGCTAAGCCCAGTGGTTGGGCGCTACGGCAGTCATTCATCCAGCGGCCTCTTGCATTTTTTAGTCAAAAATTTTTTAAAGTTCACAGGAAATTTGGAAATATCACTTGCTAATTATGTGTTATTGGAAGATTGGAAGATTAATATCTGAACACCAACTATAAAATCTTTAAAAAAAAAAAAAAAACTAAAATAAGCAATGCTAAGCCTGGTGGGGGCACAAGTAAAGCCTGGTGGCCCGCCAGGCTTCTAATACCCTGAGGGAAACCGTGCAAGAAAGAAGGCAAAAGCCTGCACACCAAGACATAAAAAATATGTATTAGATGAAAGGTACAAAAAAACAGTCCTTCGGATTGTTGCATTGCAAAGCATTCCTATTATACAGCCCTGCATAAATTTGCTTTAGCTGCCCTCTCAATGTCATTGAACTTGCTGAAAAGCAACTCAAAATAGCCAGTTTAATTAGGCTCAAGAAAACAGTGGAAAAAAAGAAATAAAGGAAGGCCGGTGTGTCTGACAGACGTATCTGGAGGCTGTTGTCAAAGTGTGATTGTGTGAAATTGGCAGGTCTATTAATAGACTCGAACTGTGGGCTGTTTTCTGCTCGGCGCCGTCCATGTCTGCTCCTCGACCCCAAAGATCTGTCAGCTTCAGATAGAAATAGAGACAACCGGGGGCGGAAGATGTGGAAACCAATGACACTTGATCAATTTAATGCTGATGTTGAGCAGTTTTTCATTCATAGATTGTCTATTTTACATGATTAAAGGAGTTTTAGGTTTGATGTGAGGGCAAAGACTAAAAAAAAGACAACAAAAAAAAAGACTAAGATGTGCAATTTTTGGTGGTGAAGACAGTCACTGTGTTTCTTGTGTGTCTGTATCAAAAATGTTGCCAACAATTTAAAGTGGGCGTGGCTACTGCACTGAAGTACATCCTGTTGATGCAACTGGTGGCCTATCGCTCTTGTGGATGGAATATTTAACACCATAGTAAGATCTCTCTTGGTGTTTTGTCAAACTTTTTAATTACTGTAGTAATTTGTTGTGTCACTCAGAGCATAAAAGCCTTCAGATGTGAGAAACTGAGCACAACTCAAGTTGGCTGTCAAAACAATATGAACCAGGCCTTCTGAGTTCTATCCTATTATCTGCTGTGCACACTTTGCACGTCTAAACGCCGAGAGCAAAATGGCTCTTCCCATGTATGCCGATGGTACATTATCTCAGCTGTGTTGCACTGAGGCTGCAGCTGGTGCCACTGTTTGCTCCCACAACTCATTTTGTCCTGACTTCCAACATTTGCAGAAAGAAAGACTTCACCGCCCTGCCAATCGCATTTTTAGTTTTACTCAAACCTGAAAAGCATCGTGAAACGCATCTCATTTTCTGCACTATTATAAGGCCTGACATGCTTTTTTTATTTTTATTATTATGATTTTTTAAGCATAAGATTCTGATCAGATGTAAAAGTTATTTTAGGCAAGCCAGTAGGCTGTAAGATACAAAAACCACAAATACTCTCCTTAAGAAATTAGGACCTCTATCCAAAGTATGTATGGTTTTTCTAAAGTATATTTAACTTTAAGTAGCAGAATTAAATAATAACAGATTAGAAAAAAAATATATTTTAACATATGCTCCTGGGAAATAATAATTAAATAAAAACTTTTACCCACTTAAAATGACCATACAACATCTAAAACAAACTTAATTGCCCAAACAATCTTAATTTATGCTGTTTAAACGGATTAAATTTGCTTCAATAAAAAACAGGGTTCCACTGTGCCAGGGAGTGAGTAACATTGCAATTCCATCAAATGTACACTGTGTGATAGCATTATACAGCAGCTTCTCATGAGAACAACTCGAGTTCAGATGAGACGCTGACTTTTAACTTCTTTGTATTTTATTATCAGCTGGAAGGATATTAAAGTCCAACGTGCCTCCAGAGGCAAAATGGTTCCTGTAATGAGAAGAAAAAGGGGGCTTTAATTACAGATAAACGCTGATCTGGGCTGAACTCATTACCTCCAACAATCCGCTCGAGACCCTCCGTCTCTTTTCTGAGGATTACTGCGAGATGAAAATGCTATAAATTAAAGAACAGACGGAAAGGGGCTTGGTATTATTTCTCAAGATTAGCAAACTTTGTTGCGTTGTGCTACAAAAATATTCTTTTAATAGTTGGAAAGCCGTTAAAAATAAGTGCAGGTCAGGAGTTTTGTCTCCCAAGACTCGAGGCGTTCAAGAATAGTGTTTGAGACAAATTTGAAATCAGTGCTTGCTACAATAATTTTCTGCCTTTTTTTTTTTTTTTTTTATACCAGATGGCCACAGTTATTACATTAATCACTTATATTGTCAAAAATTATGAAGCAATGCCTTCAAAAAATTAGGATTGTTTCTATATGGAAACTTTTATAGCTTCCTGCTGCAGGCAGCTGCGAACTGCTGGAGAAGATGGACAGGCCAAAACAAAAGGAACAAGGCGGTGAGAAAAGTGACAAATGTTAAATAAACGTGAATTTATTTGTGACGTGCACGTCAAATTATGTCAAAAAATTCTCTCACCTGTGGAGGTTTGCAGCTCCTCCAGAGTTACTATTGGGTAACTGATTAATAATGGACTTTCTTTCTGGAGTGTAGCTCAATTTTTCGTCTCATTAAGCCTGAACGGCTTACAAGCATCATCACATTTGGAAAGTTACATATTGGCCTCTACTTCTTTTATACGTTTGCATATTTCTTCTGCTTTTGTTTTGCCGCTGCTCCATGTAGGCTGTATTTATACATCGGCATCGTATCGCATCAATGTTTACATTTTCGGACATTGCTGAACAGATTTAGGGATATATCCAAACCAAAGGGGTTGGGTAATGCCACACGCACACACCACGCCTGACAGATGTTTCATTTGTGCAAAACACAAACCCACCTTTGAAAAGAAAAAGATGAGGTTTCTGAAAGCTGATCACTCAAAAATTAAATCAATTTGGAACTTATCTGTAATGGCATTCTTGAAATTCTTTATAATTATATATAAACAATTTAGCAAAACAAATGCAGGCTATAAATAGCTTACTTTTAAAGTGAAGGTTCTTTAAAAAAAATAAAAATGTCACTCTGAAAGATAAAACAAATTCCAATATTGAACAGCAGACATGACATTTTTGGGATACCATATTAAAAATATATATGTTAAAACCAAGCTCCAAAAGCCCTTTTCCCCAGGCTGGAATTTTTTTTGTAGGAGTCTGAGACTGCCAAAGATTTATAAGGCTGCAAAAATTCTTCCAAAGCCAATTCGACTGAGGAACAATTAAAAAAAAAAAAGAGAGAGAGAGACAAAACAGAGAATTATTTTGACCACTCCCTAAATATGTATTTTTCATAGGATTTCAATAAAGCCTTAACTACCAGAATATCCAATAATTTTATTTAACTCCAATCCATAACAGCACAGATTTCTGGGGGATGTAGGCAAAGCAAAGGTTTTAGACCCCAACCTCTATGCAAGGTTAGTGGGACCAACTCTTTGGTTGCCTCGCAGCAACCTGTTGAGTAAGGCAGCAGCCTAACAACTGCTATCATAATCGTTATTGATATCAGCCGATATGAAAGGGTTGTATCCCGATTCCACGGTTTTTTTCCCAACCATATCGTCCAACCCAAACTGATATTTGCAGGAGAACAAGCATCGCCAATCTGCCCGTGAAAAGCCAGCATGTGCTCGGAGGACTGCGGTCATTTGAATGCGCTGCAGCCAGCCAAAGGCTTGCGTGGATGTGGGTCACAACAGGTGCAGCCTGACCCCCGCCCCCTACCCGGGGCCTCCAGGAGCCAGTGCACAGCTCATATACCGAGCAAGACTCGCACAAAGAACATGGGAGCAGCTTTGTGGTCAGCTGCATTACTTACTCAGCGTATCCGGTGGCCCACGGTAATCTCCTGGTTTCCTTCAGGATGAGGATGGGCCGGGCTATGTGGTCCGCCGAGCACTCGATCTCATCCGCGGACAGTCCCAGGAACTCAGGTCTCGTATAGGGAAATTTCAGCGGCAAATCCGAAGACGAATTCCCGCCCCCGCCGGAGCCTCCCCCGGTCATAATCCCACCCATGAACCCGGCCACGGCCGTCTTGACCCGGGTGAGCATGTTGTTGTTGCCGCCGCCGCGCCGCGCCGCGGCGTCCGTCGGCCGGTGCGCGGCGCCGCGGCTCCCTTTCCCCGGATTCCCCCCCAGCTCGTCCGCGCTGCTGCTCGACGACAGGACTCGAGAGGAAAGCGGCGGCTGCTGCTGGCGGGATGAGGATGAGGAGAAGCTGATGGAGGAGGAAGCTCCTCTGGTGGTTAAGAGCTCATGGATTCAATCGGCCGCCACCGGGCAGGGCGACGACAACAACAACAGCAGCAGCAGCAGCAGCGGCGATGCAGCTGGTGCAAATCCATAAAGAGTCATTGATAACGGCATGAACGCGGAAATACGGTAGAAGATTAAGGGGTCACGTGACGCATCCATGGACGAGCACTGCAAAAAAACAAAACAACAACAAAAAAAAAACAGCCTGCACCATGCATAAGCTGCAACAACGCACTATATGATCTGCATTTTGACTCACCACTTAAGATTGGATTTAATTGTTCATAACAGATGCAAAGAAAACATCTGCAGTAGTTGACAATGATGACAAAGGCCATTATTTATGTTGCTCCCATTGCAGTGGGATTTAAAAGCCCGTTGAATCCTCTCTGTGGTTCGACTTAAAGGCTATTTTTTGCAGTGCAGAGTGAGCAGCTTAAGGGACTTGACAGAAGGTCAAAGGTAAATCAGTCCCTGACAGCCAGGGAGATCTAAGAGGACTCCCACTGCAATGGAAGTGAAAATATCCCAATTTCTCGTTGATGAGCTGAAAAGTGTTGGCTGTTCACGTCATAAATCCCTGTAATCAGGATTTCATGAGGCCAGTAAAAAGCAGTGTGCAATCGTTAGTTGATTTAACAGAGGTTATAGTGATATTTTCCTCCAGAATCCGTTTTTAAATATAACGTCCAGATATTCCTGGCAGATTCGATGTCGCTGTGGGCATTTGTGTACGAGACATCGCACTGATTTAGTTAGGTCAAAAATCACTGCTCCATATTTACACAGATAAAAATGGCGAGAATTAAAATGCTGCCAGTAATTATCCGATTTATTAATTTTCTTCCAGCATATAGCTAGTAACCTAGTCTCCCAGTATTCACCAGGAAGCTTGTTGAAAGGACAATGAACAGATGAGGCACAAGTTTTCTTTTTCTGGTTCTCGGGTGTCCCGCCCCTTTCTAATGCCGCCCTGGGCGACTGCCCGTGTAGCCCACATCAAGAACCGCCACCAGCTCGCGCTTTGGGTGGATCCAAGTGGCTTAAAAGCAAAGTCCATTTATCGTCGCTCAAACATCCATTTGTCAGAGCCACAATTTCAAACGTTTACACAGAAAATGTGTTTGAAATTTAGGTTTAGTCTCTGACATGCCATAAATGTTGAGAAAAGTGAGAACTTTATTTCAATTTCCATGTTAGCTTTGGGGATAGAAGCAAAAGACGACCCAATAAGATCCGCCGTATGAACTCCTTCATAAATAGTTAACCTTAACTTTTATGCAGCTGCTTTCAAAAAGATTCTTTTTGAAGTCAGTATCTGGAAGCTACAGTATATAATAATTATAAAAAACTTAGTGCTTAAAACCCCCCCAAAAAAGTTTACATTTATAAATACAGTGTCATTAATAAAAGATTTGTGCAAGCAAAATGTTTTCACTACATTTTCCATACACCTGCACTTTTTGAAGCTCCACACTTTCTGCAGTACAACTCCAATTCCTTTAGAGGGCGCTCCAACATCAAGGTGCAGAGGTTAAATTCAATAATAACTTGTGCCGGACAGGAGAGGGACTTTCAGAGCGAGTTTCTAGGAAAAGCTTCAAACTCTTCCGTGAAGCACTGCAACGCTGGAATCCGTCTGCTACGTTCGCTCAACAATTTATCTCAAGTGTTTGGTTCTCAGCCAAATGAATAATGTTTTTTTTTTGTCCATTTAGTCCTGTTTGGACAAACTGCCAGGTGTGTTCTAACTTGTTCTGACATCACTGTTTTCACTACTATCATGAGAGCCACATGTGACTGGATTGCCTCTTTGTCATTGTATTTCTTTCCGCCCTCTGGGTAATGACATGGTGAGAATGTAGCAATTCTAGACAATCAGTTCTAGGGAAGCTTGTGACGGCCCTGATCTTTGGCTAAATTTAAAACGCACACAACAGCTTCTGCTTTCACAGGTTTTCATCATGACCCATATATTTTTATTTTCCACAATCTGATAACGTGACCGTTTAATAATCTTTGATTACCCTGAAAGTGTTGGGTGCAATGTGTCACTCTTCCTTCCCAGCATCAGGTTCGTGTGTTGATCAAGACGGATTGTGGTGGTGCTTCCTTTCTCAAGTGCAGGAAAAGAAAGGTTTTGTGAGACAGTCGGGACATGATGTATTGTACGCATCCAGGAAGGAGGATATAAGGAAGTTCTTTAAAGGCACAAGCATCTTTAAAAGTGTTATGTCAAGCCCATAAAGTGGTAATTGTACGATTTATTCAAAGGGAAATGTTGGATATTGTCGGCGATAATCAAAAATTTCATTCATGTGATTACTGTTTGAGTTGATGATATCATAATAGGTGAAAGCAGAGGTATGCAAAGTGAATACTACGGCCACTTTCACATTTCAAGGAGGTATTTGATGAACCAATAATAAGATATCATTAGAAACTTTATTATATGTATAATAATGTTTTTTGTCTATTTTTAGGGAGATCAGATTTGAAAGGTTGTTCACAAAATGCTGCATATTAGGTGGCAATCTCTATGTATAGTGATTTTGATTGAACAGAATAGTCCGGCTTGTAGTTATGAAGGTGGTATTTATAGTATAAATTACTTTCAAACTCTCTAAAAGAAGCCTATGAAGTATTTTGAGCAATTTCCCCCCCCCAATATCTCAGAAAGTAGAAGAGCGTCGAGCTGAAGAGGAAGAGGATTTCTTGACATTCATAGGGAGTTGCCAGAGGTAGCAGCTCTGACTGAAAGACGAAAAGGTTCCATGTGGTTTGAAAAATGATCTTTTGACAGTCATCAAAACAACACATTCTGAGATGTTTTTTTAACCTTAAGGCAGTATAGAGGAAATAGGGCCCCCTGGCTTTGGGAAAAGTTTGCAACAATCAGCTCATCGTTTGCAATTTTTGACCCAGTGTTTGTGTAAAGCTGCCCAATTCACTTTGTTTTTGACGTAATAAACCATCAATTTTTTTTGGGTCAAATGTAGCTGACACTCCGTCATGCCAACCATTTTGCAAATAAAAGGCCATTTCTCTCCTTTTAATTTTACTCAGGGATCAAAAAAGTATTTTTGAATTCATAAACGTGTCTTTCGTTGTGCGTTAATGTAATCAGCACAACAGGCTGACAGTAACTTTGCTATACTCCATTTTACCATTTCACCAAAACCACTTTTGACAAAGATTGTCGAATTAAAACTTGCTGATGTCAATTCCGAAAACATAAGCCCTGTTTTTGGACTAAAATAAACAGAAAATAAATAACTCAGCTGTCATTTTAATGTACTTGTCAACATCTTAGCAAAACCATCTGACATTAGGAACATTACAGAGCATCATTTTACTATTTTCCCAAAACTCGGTGTGATTTCTGATCCAGTATGTGGTTCAAATGATCTATGTTACATCCAGGTTTGGGTGAAAGCAGCAAAGTATTTGTGTGTGTTAATGTGACGTACAACTTGTCATCTTTGTTCAAATGGACAACTTTCTCCAGATAGCCAATAGCAGCATTCCTAACTTACAACTTGCTTACAACTTAATGATTAAAGGTTAGAGGATGTGAAGCAGTGGAGCCCCGCCTCCTTTGTCATTTATTCATGTGCTCACCCCACGCTCCAAGCACAGACATCGTCCCCATCCTGCTGCCTAGCAGACCTCACAGACCTCACACACCTCGCCCAGTTGTGGATCCTGGTTTGGCAGCACGTTTAAAAAGGAGCAGCAGTTCAAATCTAAAAAAAAAAAGATATGATTCACTGGATTGCCTTGCTGATTTCCTGCTGCTGTCTGAATGGAGCTGCAGGAGAAAGTCCTCAACTGGAGAGAATCAAGAGATGTCAGACCAGGTGTTCCCAGGTAAAGCCTTACTCTCAGTTACTCTCGTGCTGTCACCTGTTAACAATTGAGCCTCCATCTCCTGATGGAGGCTCAATCAGCAGATGGAGCCTCCATCTGCTTAGAAAAATAAAAAGAGATTTCCAGTAAAACTTATCCTTGTGCAGTTTCTCTTCCCTCTGTGGTCATACAGATACTGCTTGCTCTGGTTTTCGGGGATGTTTGCTTCACTTTCAGTAAATCTTTCTGAAAGTGAAGGCAAGCATTGAGGGAAGCGCTATGAGGCAGGGATAACCTTTCAGTGCTCTTTGAAGTGACAGTAAGGAAAATGATGATAATGAAAGAGCATTGCTGGTAGGTGACTTCCCCAAAACTGAGTCACTTGGGATAACAAAGACATTCTCATGAGGCAGCATGCTGGAAAACATACCCAGGTATTTAGGAAAATTGAGTTTGCATATGAATAGATTAGCAAAAGAAAAAGAAACAGCTGTGACCCGTAACCGTGCTTACTTCTTTTCATTCTCCCTTCACTGGTGCCGCTTCAGCTCGCTCTTTAAACAACTTTTATGGGCTGTGCAAGTTTTATCTTGTGAAAAGCATCTTTACGGTTCGGCTTCTTACATCACTGTTTACGTCTTCCTAAAACAAGCAGCAATCGTTGTTTCGTGATTTCCTAGTTGTCATATAAAAAGAATGAAAAGAATATGCTTTTTTTGTTCTGACCACCCACTAGTTTCAACCACAAGTTTTGGGTTTCTTCATGACTGATATTTTTTTTTTTTTGGGTACTGACAAGGCATGAGTTCATAACTACCAAGGAGAGTTTTGGTCACTCTGCAACTTTTTCTGTTTTCGTAGCAGTTCTTTTTCCGATTATACATCGACTCACTTTTTACTTGGCATTTTTGTGGTAATTTAGAGCTTCTTGCTTTTCCAGGACAATACTTTCCTGCCAGAAGTGACGTTCTCTGTGTACTCACTCTGATTTAAAGTACATAATCTGCTTGGTTTACAATAGGAACATGTGGCTATATGACTTGAATAAATAAAAATGGAATAATATCTTCTGTCGTAGGTCATAATCTGTCACATATTATGGCACTGGAGTCACCCAGAGTTAAACAAATCAATCAGTCTAATTCATAAAACTGCTTTTATGAGGGAGAGAAAAAAAAAGGAAAAAGTTTCACATCCAAAATAGGAGAGCAAAAATAGGATTATCCACATATTAAATGAAGACAAATCGTTAATGGGGTGACTTCACCAAGAGTCAGAATTTCCAAAGGTCAAATTTCTCATGTTGATTCAGCCCAACATGTCACACATGAGTCTAGATGATCATGTTTTATTCCAGCCAACAAACACAGTCTGTCGAAACATCTGTAGCCAAAGAAAACATTTCCAGTCCGATCACTTCCCTGGGATGACAAACTCAGGAGGTGTTTATTTTTTATTTATTGCACACCTTCTGATTTACCCCATTAAAAATCCAAAGCCGTCCGTCACAGAAAAATAACAGAAGCAATAGGAGGGACCTGTCCACAATTAGAAATATTTAAAACAAGCATCTTCCTGGTTAGGTATGAAAAAAGCAGCGCACGTGTCCACACCTTAAGGAATGAGGATGCGGAAAAACCCTTCTTCAGGTCACATTTTTGTTTGCTTGGTTACAGTTCAGGTTTGGAAAACAGCAGCACTACTGCTCACAATGATAATGGCAAAGGATTTCACCGACCTCCCTCTTTTCTTTTTGTTTTTTTCCTCTGCAGGGACTCAGCTGCAAGACCCGTCCTGATTGTGAGTATGAATGACGCGTGCACAACCACCGTAAACGTTTCTGCACAACACCTCCAGAGATCTCAATTTGTGCAGCAACAAAAGACCGTTGCTCTTTTGCACTCTGATGCATCCAGAGTACAAAATGATCTGAGTCGTTTTACTGGGATTGCAACATCACAAAAGTTTCACTTGTATGCCAAATATTTCCTCCTAAGCATCCGACTCAGCGTCCTCGTCTCTGGCTTCAACAGATTGGTTTCCGCCTGCGTGTAAAGACCCGGCTGAGGGCCTCAACATCACCAGCGTGATCCATAACGTGAGCGTCTCCACCGTCATGAAGTGCGAGGACAAGCAAAAGTGCAGACTCCACCTGAAAATCCACACGGTTGTGCAACTTATGGGTAGGTAGCGCCGACGACTCCATTGACATCAACCTTGCCTATGCAAAGATGCCAAGTTTTGACGTAGTTTCCACTACGTGCTGCACACAACGCCTCTCAGACGCAGAGTAATTTCTTTCATCCACAACAAATCCCAAACATACAACCAGTCCTATGAAGCATAGTCAGATCAGAATTCACACAGGGAAGAGGAAGTTTTGTGATAACCAAATTAAGAAATAGCTTCAGCAAAACTCTTTCGGTAATGCTCAACGAGAGAGAAAACCAGATGAACACGGGTAACCTGGGGGAAAGTCTGATAAGGACGAAGGTTGTGTATGCAGAAGCAACAGCTGGAGGAGCGAAGAGGAGAAAGAAAACAGCTGCTCTGAGTGACAGGCTGAGTGACAGGCTGAGCGACAGAACATAAACAGAGCGACACAAAGGAGAAAATTGACCTAAATGAAGGGAAAACGATGAAACTAAGAAACGGTAACGCAAAGAAACTATAGCTGTAACGTCGTCGTTCAATCTTTGTTTCGGTTTCTCGTCAAATGTAGGTCTATATGTAGCAGAAGGTGAAAGATTAGTCATAAAAATAAAACAGGAAATGTTAATTTTATGCAATTCCCGCCACGAAGCCATAAAAGTTAAATATGGTAAAGATTCTTTGCTGTATTTGCTCTATTCCGAGGGTCAGTTCCTGCTGACATTTAGCCAAAACCAGGAAGCCACAAATGGCCTGCACTTAAACGGGTCAGGTCAGCATGCCAGCCACACGCCATTGACAGGTTGCTACGTGTGATGCATGCAGCAAAGATCCACTTAAGACATTTGCATTGACTACAGAATTGGGCAAATTGAAATTCTGAAAATAAATATGCTTAATGAAAACAGGGCCAATTTGAAACAAAAAAACAAAAAAACCTCTTGTTTAAGTGCTGCTATGAAGTGGTTTTTCCAGCCATATCGAAACAGATGGAATTCTCAGGTCTGTAATGGAAAGATTACTGGCAGAAACCACGAAGAAGGCGAGAGGAAGTAGTCTTCTTTGTGGTTTATAGTTAGTTTTTTCTCCCATACAAAATAAAGCATTCCAACACGTTGAATCCCCCAAAAACGCTTCAAACACTTACAGTAAAGCTGGACTTGTCGCCCCGACGCCCGAATAAGACGCTAACGTCTGATTCATCAGCTAGCATGTGAATGTATCTCACATAGCCGTTTAAATTTGTCACTGCTGTGATTCTTAATGACTCACTGCGAGAACAGGCTTACTCAAGTGTGATTTTTATTCTATTTCTTATGTAATAGAAACAGAGCAATTGCGACATTTTCTGTCTTTGACATTAGCAGAACACAGACAAAGATTTGCGGCCATTTGTGTTGAAAACGCAGCCCGTGAGTCGAGCTTGTGGAGTAATTGTGACCTTCTTGGAGAGTGGTTCTCTACTTGAACTGCTTTTTGAGATATTTTTGCCTGCTTCCTGCTGCCTGACAGGTTCTTTTCAGTGACTTCTGGCTGCAATCAGGCCCAGATGCGGCCAGTCAAATTGAAATATGTGACTCCTGATGTGAATCGTATGAAGCAAGACTATTTTCCATCTGGCAAAATAAACAACCCTCTTAGCATCACTTATGTTTTTTTTCTTATTGTAATTAGTGAAACATGTTTTTATGACTGTTATGAGTAGAAAGCCTTATGCATACCGTTGCAACAACAACAAAAAAATTAGCTGTCGACATTAATACATCTAATCAGATCCTGATGACAACCAACTCAACTGTCATGTCTTGTTTTTAATTTTTATTCATTCTAAAAAAAGACTAAGGTGTGGTGGAATATCAATCACCAGCTGTGATGATGGACTTTTAAAATAATGCAGAGTTTCTATTCACCACGTTCAGCTGCCAAAACACACAGCTGAGCGAACATACGCCCTTTGAACCCAAAATAGACCTTTCCCTTCTTATATAACCTGAGGAGGAAGTTGTAAGAGTAATTCATAGGCCTGACTATTATGGAGACTTCTCAGGTTGTGGACATATTTGAATGCAGGGCAGTGAAGGAAGTCTCCCCTGCGAAACCCGTCACGCTGCAACAAAAATGGCCTTTGCAGGACAAAACAAGCCAAATGACATTTTATGTGTCTGGCAACACTAATAGTGTAAACAATAAGGTCAGATTCTTCTTCCTTTTTTACTAAAAAGGGCACATGCAGGCATATGCATTACATCCTTGTTTGTGTAAGAGAGATCCTGCAAAGCTCTTCCCTGTTTGGACGGAAGTGGGGAAATTTCTTAGGCTGGGATGATAAGTCATCCAGTCACTCATAAAAAAACAAACACTTGCCTAGTCGTAATAGTTTTCAACAGTTCGCGGAGTAGTGAGCATTTTCTGTTTCACAACCGAGTTGTTTTTCTCTGACTTGTTTCCTTCTTTGTTTTGGATCCAGACTCCGTCAGCGGCGTTTCCATTTGCACCAGCAGTGCTGGGATGATGACAAAATGTCAAATCGTGCAATTCACCAAAGCATCGAGGAGATCAATGTCTGGACTGCTGGTAATGTTTGCAGACATTTATGCCACTTTGCAGTACATTTTTAATAACATACAGCATCCTCCATGTTCCAAAAAAAAAAGACTTGTGGTGAATCATTGCTTCATTACAGCAGTGTGATGTTACAGAAAAGCATTGAAAAAGCCAACGTTGAAGTACCTCAGCCTTCTTTGAACACCCTAGTTACTGCTCTACCATCACAAAAGTAAAAATATTAATTGGAATTTTGTGTGCTGTATTCATAAAAAGAAAAAGTTGAGTCGGATGGGTGTGAATCAAAAGCTCAGCATGCAAAAAAATCACCTTGTCTCCTTTGTTAAGAAAGTTTCTCTTCAGCAAAGTTTTATTTGCAAGACAAATTTAAAGTTATATAAGTTTTGTGAAGAGTTCATATCTTGTTTCTCATTTAATGCCAGAAGATTGACTCAAATTTCTATTTTGCATCGCATTCACATGCGATGCCTTTAGCTGTATTCAAAAGATGGTGAAGTCACTGAAGTGTGACATGGATGTTATAACTGGAGTTTATTTATGTATCTTTTGCCTTCAGGTGACAGTTGAGAATGATTACACTGAAGTGTCTCCAAACCAGCACCTACAAGTAATTGTGAAAACAGTCCCAAGTTACTGTGGCATAACTTGGGTTAGCAACTACCGTACCCCTGGTAAGACAAAACAAAAGCAAAAAACAACCTCTTCCTCTTGGTTACACAGAAATACCTGCAGGTACCCAACCGGAACTGCAGATTACATTTCATTAAAACTAAGGCAAATGAGGTTGCAAGTATTTCCCTTATGTCACAAATGGGAACAAGAACTAGCACAGTAAGAGTTAGTAAATTGGTAACCATGACGGAATGTAACTAACTTGTAAAAATTAACCTGGGTTTGCCAAAAACATCACAACCAACTAAGCAATGCCCACTTTGGTGCCTTTTTGTTTTTTTTGCAACCTTTTTGTAATCTTATTTTAGTTTGGGCGTTAAGTGAGTATGCTGAATACTCCACATTGTTTGGTGTTGAGTCATTTGCGATATGGTGTTCCTCAGAAGTGTTTGAGATCATCTAGATAGAGTAAACCACAAAGCATGGAAGAGTTGTTTTACATGTTGCACCATCTCTTCCACTCTCATTTGATGGTTTTGTTTTTCTTTTTCCACAGTGTGTTCGCATGAAGATTTGAGAAAAAATGTTCCTGAATGCATCAGTGAGTACATGTCCTGGTTTTCTGAGTCTACAGAACATGTTATGTTTGCAGGATCCATCTATCCTCCCACTATCTTACACTTCATTCAGTTGTTGGTGCAACAGGTTATGAAAGGAAACCTCAACGTCTCTTTCCCCCAGCTGTCCTCTTAAATTGATTCCTCTAGAAAGTAATGCATTTCCAATTTGCATTGGTGTGCTTTGAGCTCTCCACTAAGTTCAAAACCACTTCACCCATTTTCTCAGGCTGAATCTGACAGACCAACCTACCCAGAACAATCATTTCATCAGACCATATCAAGGGCTGTGTTCTTTTGCTCAAGATCCACATCTTCTTGGGAAAGCTGAGGGTTGGAATAGAGACAGGCTGGTGAATCAAGAGCTTCTTATTTCGTTTTGCCATGACAGACAGAAGCAGCACCCAGATTACTGCAGTCAATGACCTCAAGATACTTGAGGAAGTTACTCCTGACCCAGGAGGAGTGATTCCTCTTTTTGTGCATCCTTTGTGGACCACATTGTTGGTATTCCTTTCCCACAACATCTCAAAAGAAAAAGAGAAGAGTCGGTGTCGTAGGGTGTGTTAAGATGCAATTGTAAGAAAAAGAATTGCTTGATTTTTCGCAGGCAGCGGAGTCTTGAAGGCAAGCGTTTCTTTCAACAAGTACAGGCCATCTTTCACTGTCAGGGTCATTAGGTGGTGACGGAGTTGAAAGACTGAAACGTAGACTTCAACGGCAGCGAGGCTACAGGCTGAGCGGGCTTCTCTTAACAAAACAAGTGTGAAGGTTCTGCAGGAAGAAAGGACTTTGAAAATAAGCAAGTCAGACCTCCAGATGTTTCCATGATTTTGTTCCTCCCCAGATCAAAATCATCACTTTGTGTGATAAAAGTGGCAAAGGAGATGGGATCTCAAGTATGACTAACTGTGGAGTTGAGTAACAAAGCCAGGTCTGGAGGAAAACTTCTTAAAATAAATCCCAGACGCAAAAAATTACGTCAAAGAAAGAGCAAGAAAATACCTTGTTGCATTTATTTTCTATAACTGAAGTGGATATTTGCAACATTTAAAGGCGCCACTTAAACCCGAAAATATCTATGACATACCAGCTGTTAACTGAGTGTTCTCACCGTACTAAAAATGCAAAGACAGTGATTGAGTCTATATGTCAGGCAGGAATTGCAGCAAGAAGTGACTTATCTCTGATCATACAACCAGTACGTCACTTCTTCCAACCGTTGCGCAGTGTTTTCATAATTAGACATGACATGGAGGAAGGGTTTGACTAAAGCCGGGATCAGGCTTATATTCGCTTGGAAGTACAAGACTGCACTGCAGATTTTACAGACCATCTTCACAAACCCTGTGGAGTAGAGAGGCGGAGCGAAGTGGATTGGTTTGTTCCAACCTTTGTATAAAAATTGTTTTCTAGTGATATTTTGACCAATGTGGATTTTTTACAAAGTCAATTGTACTCATGACCTAGAAAATCACAATCTTAGGTGAACTTGATTAATTATTGTGCAGAAAAAAAACCTAAACAGGTTTTCTGCTGCTTTGTTGCATGTCTCATCAATGTCTTTGAATGGAAAAATTACTATTTGGTGTTTCAGTAAAGGGTTATTTTACTGTTTGCTGAGGAATCATTTGTTGCTCAAAGTCCTAAAGTGCTGAACACGATTTGAGATGTGTCCTATTTTTGAAAACAGCAACAAAAATCATGTAGAATGCTTTCTTTGGCATTAGCAAAACATTGTATCATTGCTGGAGCAGAGAAGGCCGCTGGTGGAAGGCACCAGTCGAGCAATTCCCTCCTCCTCGTGCCAGGACGATAACAGAAAATCCAACCCCACACTTTCTTTCATCATTGCCAGATTCGGTTTCTGATTGTCGTTTTGTTTCGTCTCTTCCAGCTGGCAAGCTGTCTTACACTGCAAGCCCAGAAAAGAAGGAGCTGGCAGTCAGTGTGTCGGACATGCTTCAAGGTTACAACTACAATCTCCGGCTCTGCCTCAAAGATTTCATCTGCTCCGGCACGGGAGCTTCCACTGTGGTTAGAAACTTTGACTTGTGTTGCAAAACATCCAAACTAAGGGCAGCAAACCTTAAAAATCACTGGACGATGCTCAAACTAAAGAGTTAATAATAACTCTGACAGAACGCTAATACACTGTTAGATAGGTTACCTGAACACAAATGTGCAGCAGGATGATCTGTTGTATCCCGTCAACCTGCTTCTGTTGCAAAGTCATTCCTCCCTACCTGACCACACCTACATTTAAAATAGTAACTTAACTTTTTTAAGTCTTACTTTAGACTGTCCTGTATTACCTGAATCTCTTCTTGTGACTCATCGCTCACACACTTTGAACAAAGGTTAATGCCGCAATCACTGCACTTTTACAGCCCTCATAAGAAGTGTTTGGTAGAAACTACTTTATTGGACTTGAAGGGAAGAAAAAACAAAGATGTATTTTCTTCCTTTTCAGATAAAAAAAGAGGAACCCCTCAAGACAGCTGTCCTTCAATATTCCAGACCTTTGCCTTGCCTTTGCATTGAGGTAACTTCCTTCCCAGCTATCCAGCCTTTGGATCGATGAGTAATTGCTTTCATGAAAGGATGTCAACTTTTATTACTCGTTATGTAATTCCTTGTAGGGCTGGTCATCTTTTATTGATGCCCCGAGAGTCCAGGTCTGCCCATTCAAAGACCGTGAGTCAAAAAACAACCGTGTTACTTAAATGATCTTACATCATCTTGTAGCTGAGACCTAATTATTATATGCTTGACCCGTTTTCCCTGCAGGTCAAGATGAATTGTGGTTTGGAATCACCTTTGATCCGCTGGAAGAGGCGTTGATATGGGAACCAGCTTGTCCCGTCGCAGCTGTGGCTTGTTTATGTGAGAAACGAGAGGATGGCGCCTGCGTGGATCTGCCCGATTCGTCACAGAAAGTCAGCAGACAGAAGGTATAAGATATATTGTTGTGGTCATATTGGTGCACCACTAAATCAAATCAAATCAAATTTTATTTGTGTAGCACATTTCAGCAGCAGGGCATTTCAAAGTGCTTTACATCATAAACACAAAGTCATGCAACATTGAATAAACAATACATTGTTACATATTACATTTCAAAAACAATTCTAAACAGGTTTAAAGGAAGTCAGGGTTTCTGCTGTTTTACAGTTTTCTGGAAGTTTGTTCCAAATGTTTGGTGCACAAATGCTGAAAGCTGCTTCTCCTCTCTTGGTTCTGGTTCTGGGGATGCAAAGCAGACCAGAACCGGAAGACCTGAGAGGTCTGGAAGGTTGATACAACAACAGCAGATCTTTGATGTATTGTGGTACTAAACCGTTCAGTGATTTGTAAACTAACAACAGTATTTTAAAATCTATTATTTGAGCTACAGGGAGCCAGTGGAGGGACTTTAAAACTGGTGTTATGTCTCTATCTTCCTGGTTTTAGTGAGAACAGGAGCAGCAGCTTCAGGATCAGTTGCAGCTGTTTGATTGATTTGTTGGACAGGCCTGTGAAGACGCTGTTGCAATAATCAATGCGACTAAAGATAAACGCATGGATGAGTTTCTCTAGATCTGGCTGAGACATTAGTCCTCTAATCCTGGAGATGTTCTTCAGGTGATAGAAGGCTGACTTTGTAATTGTCTTTATGTTGCTCGCAAGGTTCAAGTCTGAGTCCATCACTACTCCCAGGTTTTGGGCCTGATCGCTAGTCTTTAGTTGTAATAACAAGCTGTGCATTGACTCTAGATCGTTCCTCTTTAGATCCAAAAATAATGACTTCAGTTTTGTTTTTGTTCAGCTGGAGAAAGTTTAATTCAAGACAAGCATTGAATTAAACCCGACAGCCATATCCTGACATGGTTAAAACGTCCAGAATGTCAGTTTTCTTAACAATGACAAGTTTGTGACGGCTTCTCTTCAAACTGGCAACAGTAAGGGGTCAGGGATGTGGATGTAGCCTGGTTTTGTTAGAGGAATACCGGTTCGCTAATGTAAAAACGAGGCATGATGTCAACATGCACACTCCACTGTAAACAGTTTAACTCTTGCTAAGCATTCTGGATTTCTCAAAAGGAGCGGCTTTCAACAAGAACTGTTTACGCGTTGAAGTAAAACACGTCCCTTTGCACTTTACGACGTATCTGTGAAGTAATGAGTTTATCCCGACATTCAGTTTCAAGATACAGACGCTGTAAACACTGTAACATAACTGTGCAGCCAGGAAAGCCGGAGAACAAATCTTCTTTGGCTTGAAGCCCCAGGCGTGTCATTTGAGTTTCACATTCTGTATTTGCTATAAAAATAGCAAATGAAACAGAAAGTCCTGTTGAAAATATGAGTAAAACAACCTAATTATCTAAGATGAAACTTAAGGAAAATGACCTTTGCGTTCACCAATGTTTTTCAGATCACATTTGCTAAAGTGGATCCCCACCCTCAACTGTGCATGAAGGTAAGGATTTCTATCTCTTAAGGCATTTTTACACTGCATAAATAAATGACATCATTGTTGCAATAGCTCTTAAGTCAATATATACATGGACATCTTTCAGGTTGTTTAGTTAGCAAGTGCTTCTCTTTCCTTGGCCCAGACAAATATGGAATAAAATGTCAAAACTTATCAGGTCAACAAAGTCAGGCTTTTATCTTTAGCCTTGCTGGTGGATGGAGTTGGAAACTCTGGAACTACAAACTGTACGGAATTGGAACAATTAAATTATTACCGTTCTTTCCCCGAAAACAGCCAAATTGCTTCCATCAGGGTTTGGAGCTTGTCGAGTATATCAGGAATTTATTAGAGAGAGGAAGCATGCTGTACTCATTAGCAATGATACAGAGACAAAAGCCTGTTTTACAACTTCGTTAGTATCTAAATTCTAAATAAAAGCAGCAGGAATTAGCCTGAGTTTTGGAAATTTCTAGGAAAATCTAAGTGAACTTTGTTTTGCTTCTGGGAATTCATAATCAATTAATCACAGAAGGAAGATTTTTCTCAGCTTTCCAAAGCAATTGACTCCAAATGTTTTATGTAGTTACAAATATCTGAAATATTTTAAGAATTTTATATTAAATGACACACGCATGCAGAAAAGTATTCAATTGTTTCCGAATTATATCTGCAATTAGCTGCAAGACTTAGCTGGAAACAAAGCAGAAATAGTTGTATTTCATTTAAAATGTTTTTCATGTGTAGCAGGAATATTTTAGGACTTTTTCTGAATGTTTTTAACATTTCAAATCTATCAGTTTACGGTAGGCTCTCAGTCCTGGACCCAATGCCCCTTTGCTGATGGCATCAAAGGTGAGTTTTTGTTTTACATCATGATGCTGATGAAAATAAAAATGTTTCTGAATGAACTTCTGCATTAGGCCACATTTGAGGAATTCACTGTAACCTGTATGTAGAGATACAATTTTTATTTTTTTTTTTCCATTTTTCTCTAGTCTGGGACGTGATCGTGTCGAGGGATCATGGCCATGAAGAACTGCAAATTCTGTCGCGAGTTACGGCGAAGTTCTCCGTGGGGCCGTGGGGGACGTCTGCAGAATCACCAGTGAACCAGACAACCTACGCGATACTTGTAGACGTTGTAAGCTTCATCAAGTTATATGACTTTAACTAGGTCTTGTCCTGTTCTTCTTTTTGTTTCTTACTGAACATGCTTGGACTCGTCTTTCCTGCAAGCCAATGTTTTTTGTGTTGCTCCAAACGTCCTGCATATGTTGCTAGGAAGCAATAGCTTTTCTCTCAGGTGTCTCCTTCATCAACAGATCCATAAAAGTAATTACACTTCCAAGATCGTGTTATGATGCGTTTCTGTCAACATGTCAGCCACATAAAATATACAGGAATTTGCCACATGAAGCGTAAAATTATATCTCATTTCCATGCAGAACACTGGCATGGGTAATTATCAGGTCACAGCTTTTAGGCCTTTGACCTCACTTCCAGGAGACAACAGAGAGGTGTAAAGGTTAATCATAACAATAAGGAAATGTGTAATTTGGATTTTGAGGGGAAGGCTTGTTTTGGTTCGGGAGCTGCATGGGGAAAGGAGACAGATTTGAGCATTTGCAGATCTTACAGTGCTCCAGCAGAGCGAAAAAGCAAACAACCTCAAAGTCTGACATTTTAAGGAAATTAACCCCCCCCAACCCAGTGACTGTGGGAACCTTTAAATCCGCTGCAGGATCCGATTGCATTGTTTTTATTGTCTTTTTTTGTCTTCAGGAGAAACAGAAACCTGTTGACTTACAGCTACGGGGGAAACAGTGCAATTTTTGTCAGCAGGTACGTTCACGCTCAAAGATTCTTAAGAATGACCGTCTTTCTTTTGCGCATTGACTCTGGCAGCGGCGCTGAATGCTCCTTTTGTATTTGTGCAGGTGAAGAGGGTTGATGTGAAGTATGCTGCCACGGTCGTTCACTGCACCAAGCGCTGCAGTAAGTACAGCTTTTGTTATTGCCTGTCTCAGACTGTCAAAAGGACCTGTCCATCTCTATTCATGGGAAGATTTTCTCTTTTTCTTTCAGTATGACGGAATGCTCCAGTTTGACATGCAAATTGTTCCCAGAACTTTTTTGTCAGGCATTAACTTCCATCTGATCTACTGATGTTGACGTTTTTTGAGAGCAATTACGAAAGCATGAGTCTCCAAATCTATTTTCTTTGGTTGTTTTGGACTAAATAAAAGCAGGACGTACTTTACCCGAAGGTTCTGACGGAACATCTTGTTTTGATATTCTTCTTCGCTTTGTAGATGTAAAGAGCAGAATGTACACTGTGTCTTCTTCCAAGAATTGAAATATTGGCCTAAGAGTTTATTGGCCTTATGGCCAGTCGTGTAACTTCAAGAAGAAGCTCCTCAAAGCTTATTCCCTACACAGCTAGTCCTCATTCGTTCAGTGTCAAAATTAAAAACACGGATCGTGACATCATGCACTAATTAGCTGGTTGATTCATGCTTGAATACTGACTATAAAGTCTTAAAAACTGCAAATATATATATATAAACTCAGATAAATAAGCAATGTTTAACCTGGTAGGGGCCCAAGTAGAGCCTGGAGGCCCGCCAGGCTTATAATACACAGGGGGAAACCCTGATATTATATAATGTTTACTGGCCATAAATTTGGGAGTTTCAAAACCTAAGACAGGAAGTAAGAAAGGAAGAAAGGAAATAAGGAAAATAGCTGGATGGATGAAGATGTCGACAGGTGTGTTGATGGATGAATTAAGCATGAAAATGATGAATGTCATCAACTTCCTCCAGATTTGAAACAACTTCCACAAAATATAATTGTACTCTTTAGTAAAATCCTAATTCCGTTTTTGCTTTTTAGCAGACAGAATCTCACTCGTGCAAAAAAATAAAAAATAAATAATTAAGATGCAGTGTTTCAGCTAGTCTCTCATAAGGTGAGGGAGCACAGTCAGAAAATACAAAACTTAGCTGCATTTTCATTCATTTCCTTTGTCATCACAACCAGGATGCAGACACACACACGCACACACACACATCCTCACACACATACAGAGATTTTGACTTTAAACTGCATATATTTTCCATGTGAAAACCAAAAAGTAAGCTGCATCACACATGGGTATAAAAGCTTGTCTCACTAATTTCAAAAAGATTTTTTAAAAAAGAGAAAGAAATCACATCAAGCTCAATTTCTCGTTCCAGTGTCCAAATCGTCTTCCCCGACTCCTCCTTATGACTTGACACGGATTATTCTACCAGCTGCCGCTTGCCTCTCTGGCATCATCATCGTCACTCTGGTGCTCTGGTTACTGCTTCGAGGTAAGGGTGTAGAACAAATGTTGCCGTTTGTGTAATCAGAACTGATTCCTACTGTGATCACTTAGCTGCATTGTTTAGCTGCAAGACCCTAAATAAAAGCAGTGTGATAATGAATAAAAATCCAACAAACTAGATCATAAAAAAATAGAAATCAATGCGGAGACAAGCCCGCATTGATTTGGGCTTGGCTCCAAATTTGCAACCTCGCAAAGCCATTAATCTTTTTTCTGATTGGTCACAATGAAAGTGCAAAAACTCGGCATCGAAGAGTTCAAAGCTGCTGTTGTTTGTGTACGCCGGCGCGCTCCTTGCCAACCTTGTAAAATATTTGCATTGCCCCTATTTAGGTTAGGGTTCATTATAGCATGCCCAGGTTTGTTCACCTGCTTCCTTATCTGCTCTTCCTCCCTGTGCACTTTAGTTTATCGCAGTAGAAAAGGAAGAACAGGCGTCTGCCTCTCCGAAAAAACAGGTAACACTTTATTTGCTCGAAACCTTCTAAAGGTCAAAGCTTCGCCTAACACGCATCTCTTCTCTCTCCCTCGTGTCGCTGCAGACGCTAATGTGTTTGATGTACAGACTCAGCTCCCGGTCAGTCGGAGGGCCTTCACAACCAGCGAGGCGAAGAGCGGAAATAACGAGAAGGCCAACTTACTCCTGAACTGACCCTGGAACGGCGCTTGGGTCTGAAGCACCGGTTGCACTGTGCAGTATAACAGTTGTTACAAAAACGCCAAAGTTCTCCATTGAATCTATTTGTGTTCCTTTTTCCAACATTTCATGTTTGTCATTGTTAACATGCTCAGTAGCTTGCTTGTTGTAGTTCTCTGCTGTTTTATACCCATATGTATCTATTTTTGTGCTCTGCTGTTTGTTTTGGTGAAAACGAACTGAACAATGTCTTAAGTTAAAACCGTCGAGAGGAAATGCATATTTTTGTTTGTTCTTATTTAAGAGTATATTTTCAATAAAACATTGAAATGCATAAAAATGAACAAATTGGATTTTTGCAAGAGGTTTTGTGCAAGCTGTGGAGATGTCAGCAGCTTCTCTGACATCTCATGACACCGAATTTCATGGAAATCTCTGGGACGAGTCGAATTCACATGCTAGCGCAGTCTGCAGACCACGCTGAAAGCAGGAAACAAACTAGAAAGGACATTCTGGGTAAATGCAACCAAAACAAACGCGCCCACACTAGCAGAAGAGCTCACCCATGGTCCTTTCCAACTGCTATAGTCTGACGCCACTCCCTTTGTTGTTTATATTTCGTCAAGAAGGAAGTTGGGGCTTCTTCAGACGTTTTCTGTGATCTTCTGCAGATGTCAGAGTGCGTTTCTGCTTAAGACATGGCAACAAACCTTTGGCCAATCGCACAACAATTCAGACAAAGCTTTGTCAAAATAGTTCGACCCAGGTAAGAACGGATGCTTGCTTTTCCACACGTTTGTTGAAATTTGTGCGAGGTTTAACACGCGACACATCAATAATAGGACAACGCTTCCCACAGTGAAACATAGTGGTGGCAGAGTCATGCCGCTCCTTTTCTCCAGACTGGACGGAGAAAAGGATGCTGTCCTGGACCCGTGGTTTGTGCTGCTCGCCGATTAAAAAGGTCATCAAACCACCTATTTGCTTCAGGCAGATGGATTTTGTACAGTCTTAAAAAAAACAACCTTTGTGAGGTGAACATTCCAGTTTCCTGGTAAATGTTCCCATGTGTGTTTGCTAAGCTACGCTCTTGCTACTGTTTGCCGCGCCTCCCTTTTATCCTTTTTGTCTTTACCCAACTCTCGTGCAACAAAATTTATGGACAAAACAACATGAGTCGGATGACTCAGAAAGCCATTAGGAACATTGTTAAGTGGCATAAAGCAGATTTATGTCATGCTGCTCAGATCCACCCCCCTACAAAAAAACAACATAGTAATATAGATCGGCTGTGGAGGTTTGTATGACTGTCGCCATTCTCAAGTAATTCCTGAAGAACATGTTCTAAATCGCACACACCATGTTTCAGATTATCCACTTCTCCTTTCATCGGTGCTTTATTCTGCCTGCGCCTGCAGCGGATCTGAAGAAAAGCTTTAATAAAAGACGCCCAAACAGACATGCACACGCAAAGTTGGACCTGTTCGATTTTTTTGTGTGTGTGTGAGACACAAAAGGAGCATCCTGGATGTGCTTTCTTATTTTCTTCTTTAGCCAGTAAACAGCACATTAACAATAAACGTGGATTGATTAAATTTTTCCAACACATCAAGATGAGAAGAGATGGAGGAAACGCTTGTGCACAAACAACCATGACCTTCAAGCCGCGAATGGAAATGAGTGTACTGACTCAGAACCACGTATGAATGCAGTTTTCTAGAGAACGAGCGGAACCAGGACCACCCAGAGTGGTTTTCTCCCCCCACAAAGGCAGTATTTGCAGATTACTGCAATTGGTGCTCAAATGTTTTCCCAGCTTATGAAACTCAAAACGTATCAACTTTTTATTTAACTTTAACAATAGGCTAAATCTGGCAATTTAAAATAAAGTGGAAATCACTGCAAAAATACAAAATCTTACCAAGTATTTTGGTCTAGTCTCTATTCTAGTTAAAATAAGAGAAATGTAACTTGTAAGCAGGAAATGGAAGCGTGTTGCAAGTTAATAACTTCTTAATATTTATTTTAAAAAGTATTAGTTCCATTGTCAAATAATCTGTCAACAGAACTATTAGATTTCCATGAATATTAAGGAATTATTGCCATACAGTAACTTGTAAGTCAGTTTTTTCTGTAACACTTTATTTGTGTGCATAAATATCATATTACACCTGTTATGAACATGAAGAAGCCTTCATGAATGGTTATGGGTGTTCCATGAAGTGTCATTCAGTAACTAATGACATTTTTAATGCACAGCTGACACTTTTAATGGACTTTTAATACACGTTTTAGTACAACTTTATTGAAAATTTACAGAATTACTCTTCATGACAACAGTCAAACATTCATAAAGACTCCTTCATGTTCATAACAGATGTTATGTCACGATTATGTCATGTCAGTCCTATGCATTAAGATATTTACAATAGAAACTAGACCAAAATACTTTGTAACATTTTGTATTTTTGCACTGAAAAAATACAAAATTAGGTTGACTCAATATTTTAAAATTGTCTTTAGACAAGAGTGTGTTTGTGTGTGGTTGCTTGACCTGTGCACTCCACCCTTAAAACCAATCAATCGACCAATTTATTTATGAAGAAACTTTTACTCTAAAAGCAGCTCAAAGTGATGTACAGACCAATAAAAACAAACAATTACCCACATGGAGAAACACACAACTGTATGGAAAATGCACAAACTCCACAGAACTGATCCAATTCAGGAAATAGTTTAAAAGATGGCTTCTCAAGCTCCTCTTAAGGACAACATTTTGTGCAGGCCTCAGGACTTGATGACCTGAAGTTGGTGCAGCTCCAAGTTCACATGTGTGACCAGGCAAATGAGCAAAAGCTTCTCGTAACAGTGTGTCCATCCTGGGTGTTTCGGGAGCTGCTGGTGACGCTTGCTGTGAGTAAATAAGGAAGTAAGGACAAGCTTGCAATACAAGTTTCTTGGGAAAGCAAAGTCAACACCCAGAAAAAGATGAAACCGCTTTATCTCAAAAATTTCCGTTCTGTTTACATTATGCAAATCAGGCTGCCTTGTAAACGAACAGAAGCCTCGTTCAATCGGGTTCCCAGGCAGGCCCGCAGCACACAAGGAACTCTGATAATGAAAATGTTTGAATAGGTCTGTGTCCCTTAGTGCAGCCACAAAAAAACCATTTCCTTGTCTGATTTATTTTGAAAATTTATGGCGAGATACCGTCGTGACGACAACGAAACAAGCATAGTGAGAAATTGCGGCCCGCTTGATGCGATAAGGAGAGTGCGACGCCTCACAAAGCACACACGGTAGTTTAAAAATAACCTTCGGATCACAAAGCAACATTTGTTTCCAGACCTGCGCGTTCAGGGAAGACTTCCTCCCAAAAATATTCCACAGAGTGTTGAGGGAAAACTGGACAGATTTATCTAGAACTGCGCCGCTTGCTTCCCAGGCAGATAACTTTGTAAGGAAATGGCAGAAATTGATCTGTTCAGAATCAGAAAATAACAAAACACAAAACATCCACAGCAAGTGGTTTTTTCCACGTCAAGTCTGGAGCACAAAGTCGCTGAGTACTGAATTCTGGAGACATCCAGGTTAGCTGCAAGCTAACAGTAGCTCATGGTCTCCAAATGATCAAGACTGGTCAAAGGACTCAAAATGCAATGAATATGTCATCTGTGAGTTTACAGAGCTTAAAATGTAAACATATCATGCCATAAAGTCTCTGGTCCAAGTCAAGTTATGTGAATATGTAAAGCACAAGTAAAGCAGGACAAGCCCAAGTCAAGCAATGACTATCCAAAATTCAAACGAAGGTAAAGTCCTGAGCACAAGTCAAGCTGTGACACTTTGGAGCAAGACTGCAACTTAGGAGGAACTGATTCACATTTAGCGAAAAGTTGTGAGACTGATGGCATTCTTCTACCCATTGCACCTAAATATTTGAATCTGAGTGCTATTCCTTATTTACACACCTCTTTTGATGTGATTTCCAGAACATGGTGAGGATGCACGGCTAACCGTAATGTCAGCGACATTATTAGTGCGTAGCGGCCCGGCCTCAACCCAACCTCAACTGTCTCAGGCTTGGACTTGACAGAGGGAAGACGGAGCTCCATAAGTGGCAAACAACTGGTTTTCATTCATAATTTGAACCCACTATCCCAAATAAGATGCTATTCTGTAACTACTTCCATCTGAGCCAAGTAAGACTTGTGTGAAAAAAAGCAATTTCCCCTGGCAGTGAGTCATGATGTGCGTATTGTGGAGAAATTTTCACCCAGAAATATTTAGTTTCAGCCTCAGGGGGAGTTTTGAGCCAGAACGGCTCATTTGATATCACGCCACATCTTAATTTGATATTTTTTTCCCTGTAGTTTGACTAGGCCACTTAAAATGACTAATTTAGTTTTTTTTTTAAACCATTCAGAAGTGTTTTGGTCTTCGTGATCTTTCCAGGTGTGATTAAGGTTGGATTAAGGTCACAATTGGAAGGTTGGGGTTTTTTTTCCTTCAAAATATGATTAAGTAACAGAATTTGGGCAAAAATGGCTTCCCACACATTGGGATGTCAGTGAGTTTATTTCTAATCATTTCCTGAATGAGCTCAGGGCAGAATGCGCTGCTTTCCAAAGACGTCATGCTCTCAGACAGATTATATTTGGGAGTCTTCTTGATTCAAAAGGTCAGGCAGTAATCCAGCCCGGGCGTGGCTGGTGACATTCAACTCGGCTTTCTGAAAATACTTAGTCATTGTTGAAGAGGGAATTAACTTTCAGCCTGAAATAATCCCTTGAAAACTGAATCTCTGACATTTTGGTACTAAATCGAAGTGTTGGAAAGGAGTAAAAAAGACAAACATTTGGAGAAAATCCCGCTTTACTTTGTCAAATGCTATACATTTTGTTTTGTATACCTGCCATTCTTTTCAAAAAGATAGCTGAAGCACAGTCGGTGTGGACGCATGATAGTCAGGACTTTGACTGGGACAGATTCTCCCACCTGCGCTATGGAGCCCTGCTGTTTCTCCAGAGTCACTATTCTGGCCCATCAAACTACTAAAGGGAGCTGCCACACTTTTCAAGAATTTTTTTCTTTTAGGTTGAAAATATAAATTTTGTCATTGCCGGCTGATGCATAACTGTGAACTTCAGTCCCTTTTCTTGATATTCGCAGCAGGATTTCTTTTTGTTTTTACTTCCTTGTGAGTAATTTAAGTCTTCATTGTCAAGAAGGAGGAACTTAAGGAGACAAAAGATTTAAAACAGCCCGTGGCAAAGCTTTCAACAACACTGAAATTAAATTTTTTGGCAAGATACCATGCCAAGCCTACATC